TTTTCTAATTACTGGAAGAGGTGAAACAAATCGTTTTAATAAATATTCTTTTAAAATGTTTAGTCTCGTGCATTATTATTCCTTTTTTATCTCATCAAATGAAAGCCAAATTTTTCTGTGTGCATTTTATCAAGAGCCCAAATCATGACCCAAATCAAAGCCAACTGCATTGAGCTCCAAATAAAAAGAAGCAATGGAAATGTGTGTAATGGCCAAACAAACCTGACACAATTCCCCCGATCCGATCCGATCCGATCCGTTGCGAACAGCGACCGACTAAGAGATATAGAAGATATGGAAAGGGGAAGAAATCGTGCGAGGGAATATGGGAAAGTTGAGTCAATCAAGCGAGCTTATTTCTATTCACGTCAAATTAGTCGATTACTTGGCTCGACCAACTGTGCTCCGTACGCAACCTGCATGGGTGAGTAACAACTCGACAGAGCTTATGTATGATTCACCACCATCACAGCCAAGCCAGCTCAGCTGCCCCGCCAGCAGAATAAATAAATAATTTTCGTTTGAATATAAAGAAAAACAATAATTGCAATTATCATCAAGTGAGTACTCGAGCGAGCGCGTACGTTCGACTAAAAATAACAATCGACATCACAAAATGGGTTGTGCGAGCTGCAGTTTTTGTGTGCTTTGGAAAAAGGGAAAACGGGAAAGTGGCCGGGGAATGGGAAGCACAATGGTACGTGATGATAACCACAAAAATTAAGGACAAAAGAGATTTCAAGCGGAACATACAGAGTCACCAAATCACTGATTCAACTGTACTTTTTCTTCTAAAAAAAGTACACATTTTTCGCGATTAAATTAATGAATAATAACTAATTTAAATCCCAGCAATGTGCTGATAAAGGTTAACATGGATCTTTCTTTAAACATTGAACTACTTGGATATAACTTTTCAGCTTCATAATGCCTTTTTGAGAACCCAGAGTTTACGGATTTTTTCTTACAATTTTTGGCCACGTTTCCACGTTGTTAGTACGTGCTCGTAAAGACAATTCAGTGCCGTAGAATCGATCACAAGTTTGTCTCATTCTGAGAGACCGGAGACTCCCCTGTACACACACTTGTTTGCAGTTTTCAGAGCCCCAAAAACAGGAGCAGCAGTGGCGGAAAACGAGGGGAAAATGGGAAACTTTTCCATAAGCCGAGGCAACTTTTTGCCGGCTTTCCCGCTTTCCTTTCTTTTATTGTCTTTTCAACTGTTTTGTCGGGGCGAGAGCAAAGGGAGCAGAATAAGTAGGGTAGATCCCCATTATATTTAATTTGCCTGGCATACGCTTTGTCAATATCGCACTTGTCGCCCCACCACTCCCCTCTCGTGCTATCTTGGCCCGAAAATTCCAACATGGCCCAAAGCGTTGCCAACTTCCTGTGCAGCGCCGCACACTCCTTCATAGAAGATGTGCATTTATATATACATATGTACGAATATATATCTACAAAGGATGCATGCAAATGTTGTTGCTCTGCTGTTGACATTGTTCAGTCATTTTTCAGCAAATTAGTCATGAAATTGTGCATTTCTATTTGTCTCTGTGTCGGCCGAAAATGGCACAATTCGTAAATAAAACTGCGTGTTCACGAAAATATAGTGTGAAATGTGCGAAAATTGAATTGAATGGCGATAAAAGCGAATTCTCTACCAACACAAATCAATTGATTGTCGAAACAGATAAACAGAGAAACTATCAATGTCAGAATGGGCCAATTAAACTCTGTTTTAGTTTAAATTTAAATATAAGATACAAAAATGTATTAAAGTAGAAAAAAGAAAGGAAGCTAACTTCGGGAAAGCCGAAGTTCTATTAGGAAATTCCCAAGCAGTCAATAAATAATAGATTGATGAGAGACCCGGCACTATCCAAAAGCAAACAATTAAAAGGCGGGCATAATAGTAGAATGAATTTGAAAGGAGCCGCTGCCCATGCCCTACTCTCCTCCGCTCTCCCACCCGATTTTCATTAAGGGAATTCACTACCGAAAAAACTATAGCCCCGCAGCGCGATAAAGCTTTTGTGTCCTTTTGGCTTTGGTTGTCCGCTTTTTGCAACGTTTCACAGTTACTGCAAAAGTGTTCAGTCGGTCGCTTGGACTGGACTCTGCACTGGACCAGGTAGCTAGCCCAAGCAAAAAGCCAAAATGAAACGATGTTATGAATATGAATGAGAGACGGGGGCAGCCCAGCCCTTCTTGCCTGCATCTCTCTACGATTCCCATTGCAATTACCATAGGTAGAAAAAGAGTTGAAAATTATGTATGTCATGGGTATGGTTTGGGTGGCATTGGATTGTCCAAAAAAGATATATATGTAGTATAGACGCAGTCACAGTCACATTTGGAGTCACAGTAACAGTAAAAGTTTCCCACCAGTCACTGTCCGAGAACGAGGGAGAAATGCCGGTAAACTGGGCAAACATTGCACGTATTTAATTCAATGCCCTGGTTCTTTTTGTTACCAGCTGGTATTATATATCCTAGTACATACAGTTCCTAGTATAGGAACATGCCTCAATTGGTGCCCATTAAAATGCATAAATGCTGAACCGTTTTTGTTCGTCATAACTAAATACGTCACGAATGGAGTTCCTTTCGGCCATTTGAATTACTGTGAATGGGTTTTTCGGATGCAATGCCTTATTTACATGCTGCACATGTCTTCTATTTTACTTTTTTTGTCCCCCTGCACAAAGGCTATATTATCCATAAAACCAAGCTGGGAAAGTTTGCAAAAAGATGTTGTGGGTGGATTTATAATGGGACAAGTACTTATTTGGTTGAGCTAAGCAGTTAAAATCAAAATTTTGTGCTATATACATATATCTCATCTGATTGTATGGCAGTTGAAGATGAAATAAAAATAAAGAGTACATTTTTAAACATTAAATATTTAATATATTTAATTTGAGCCCCTTTACTGCTTGAGAGCACACATCCATAATTAAAAGATCCTTTTTAACTCTTTTTAATATTTAATAAATTAAATTAAATGTTTTGAAACTATTTTCTAAGGAACTACAATGATTGTATCTTGCTGGGAACTTTCTAGGGTATCAATTGATCGGCTAGCTATGTTTCAAAGCTGAAAAATGGTTTCATGGACCCAGGGCCGGAGCAGCATTAAACATTTATAATTGCAAGACAACAGGCCAGGCCAGGCAGCCGGCAACTGATGCGATGTCTGCGATGCGTCAGTCCTATAAAAATGTAAAAGTATTCAGTGTGAAGTGCCAAAGCCCTGCTAGAAAGGAGAGGGACAGAGGGGGCAGTGGATCCCTGCTTTATTTTTTTTCGGTTTGCTGCAGGACTTTATTCTGCCCCACCCCCACCACCACTTTTTTCGTGCAGTTTTTGCATTTACATTTTCGTGAACCTTTGAAAGGTTGCAGCGGCAGCAGAAGGCTTAGCGAGTTGAATAAAATGTTGCGCTGTCTTAAAGTCACGTCACGGGGGAGTTCGAGGGGCCGGGCGGGAGTGGGTGCTCCTGCCGAGGGGTTGTGGCGGTAATGAGACAGCTGCAGAAGCAAAAGCAAACGCAACAGCTCTGCTCGACTCGGCTCCATGTGCCGTGTGTTGTGTTAATGTTGTTAGGCTTTAGCATAAACCAGCATCTTCTTTTTTAGCTAATGAGAAATCTGTCTCAGTTTCTCTCTACAGCTACAGCTACAGCTTCAGCTCCAGGCCCATCTCCCTGTCCTTTTTTCGCTGGCGTAATAAGAGGGTACAAAATAATAAGCACAGGCTGTGTGTGTGTGTAGGGACATTGAGGGATTTTAATTAAATACGACCCACGACCCACCCAGCACACAGACAGACAGATAGATAGATGGAGTTTTTTGGGCCCCGGGATGATGAGGCATAGAATTTATATCCGCATTCGTCGCAAATACTGAGATGAAAGTAATGCTCAAGTGGATGTTGATGTTGTTTCTTAATTTCAAGGATGCATGATGGCACAAGTAGCCGGCATTGTTTCTAAACTGACTTGAGACTAATTAAAAGCTGGGAAATTAAGAAATAAATACTTTTCACGAATGTAATTAATCAAAATATTAATGTAGCCACTCCACCTATGCAATCATGTTTCTCCCTTCATATATTCTTTACCCAATAAATAGATTCAAATACAATGTTAAGAAATTACTGCAGAAATTCAATAACAATTTATATAATAAATTTTAAAACTCACGTTCTAAGCCCCTCATACCGATCTTGAATTCAATTAAAATGGCAAAACCCATAAAACATTCCCCTATAAAAAACTCAATGAAACTGTTTATAGACCCTACCAAAAGTCATAAAAACTGAGCACAACTATGCAATCAAAACCTTGTAAAAGAAATCAATTAAAATACCTGCTCCCATCAAGCAAACACCCTTTATTCACCTCAAAGCCAAAAAATCTTTAGAAAAGCCCAACTCTATTTGTGTTAGATGCTGGTTGTTGACCTTTTTAAGCCGGTGCGGTGTCGGCGCATGGCAAATGTCAGCTGACGCAGCTGTACTCTCCACGCAAAAGGTCACACTTGATGCTCGCGATGGGGGCACAGGTTGCAAACGCAGCTTCGGTCACACTCTGAGCATGCGCAATGGGAGTTATGGTTGAAAAAAACGGGGTCAAGCATCGCAAATCGAAGAATAACTATCAATTTCGTGGATTTTGTGATGGACACTTTCACCCGGCCCTCCGGGAGAAATGTGTCGCGTTTGTCTCATCAATCAACCTTTGATATTATTATTTCTTAGCTCAAGAGGTGAGAACACGTTTTAGAGAAAACTTTTTTTGTATCTCACTATTTATTTATAAATATGAAGACTTAAATATTTGTGAGCTTGTGAGCTAACTTTTTCACACATGCGAGGCGAGTCTTAAACGAGCGCGTGATATCATCCCACGAGCGGGTCTTTGGGTCTTAACGTTTTCTCTTAACTGGATTTTTTCCCTCGTTGCTTCTTTGGTTTATTTGTTGTGTTATTCTTACCTGTTAAGATGGCTGCGAGAAATATAAAAACGATCCGTGACATGATTTTGTGTTGACTTCCTTTGGCTTCCTTTTATTTACTTTGTGTTTTTTGTTTGTTTGTGTGCGCTGTAATCCCAGGTTTATTTTTCCGTATTCGGACTTATTTTTTGTGGGACTTGAAAGGAGTGAGGGGTGAGATTTGTGTGTTGTTGCGGTTGCACTTGCTTTAGCTTTTCATGCATAAAATAAAACGTGGAAGTACTTTTCCAGCGGCACTTTACGGCCCGCCTTTAGACTTTATGTGTGTGAGTGTTGTTTTGGGGTGTGTGACTTTCACTGGGATTTTGTTTATTTTTATTATTTTTAGCAATATATATATAATTTTGTTGTTGGGTTATTAATTCGATTATGAGCTATATATCCGATCGCTGTGTGCTTTCTAACTAAAATCGAAGATTTGCGGGAAATATATGGAGCTCAAACACACTGCCTACCGGCACCCACACACCAGACGCACACACATGCACCAGTACACGAACGGGGGCGATACACGAACGACGTCGGACGAGCGAATGAGCGACGCACGAACTCGAGAATTCACGAACTCACAACACACTGAAAACACGAAGCTGGTTCGTAGAGGAGCGAACGAAGCGTTGAATGAACAGCTACCAAACTCGGCAGGCAACTGAATGAAGTTGGCAGCTGAGGCTCAGATACAATGCAGTTTCAATCCATAAGATACTCTGTACGATTCCATAAGCAACATTCTGTTACTCTCTCTGTACATTTCCACAAGCAACATTCTGTTACTCTCTCTGTAAGGCAATATTATGTTACTCTCTCTATACGAAACGACTGAAGTTACCGTGTTGATAAGGTTGCCAACGGGCCCATGGAGCATGGCAGCGACGCTGGCAGCGACGTCGGCTGCCGCAGAACCACCCCCTTGGCCCACCAGCATATGCGAACACTCTGCGTATGCCTTTTTTTTAACATGTAAGCAATCGGCGTACTATGGAGTATAAACGGCATCGCTGAACGAAAACTATTAATTTTTGCGTACGATATTTTCAATACAATAATTTCATAGAAGACATACATATACATTATTTTAAATTTAACAGTTATACCTCTTCACAAAGATAGATAACACCGACTATGACACCTTTTATTAAACTTCCTGATATAAAATTAATAACAGTTAATTAATAGTAAAATTAATTATCCAATTTTGAAACAAAACAACTCTTCCATTGTTTTTTGTGTAGATTAAACAATGACTTATGTAGTATGTATCGTAATAATCTTAATCATTACTTGGTTGAGGTAGTAGTATAACATTTGTAGCGAAAAACTCAAATGACCCACTGTGCGACGCCAACTGCGCTGCATCAGAGTGCAATGTTGCTGCAAGCAAGTTGTAAATGTTTCTGCTGCTACATGCGCGACAAGCTAGCAACATTTTATGTTGCTGAGTGTTGCTAGGGTACATGTTGCTGTATTCAGGAGTCAATGTTGCTGGCTGCCTGTTCTAGTTTACGCTCTGCAGCAACTTTGCATGCCTTTTTAGGAGGTACTCATAAATCAGAGGAGTGTATGGGCTACTTATAATGATAGTCAAATAATCCATAAACCAGAAGCTTTAGGCAGGTTCTAGGAATTTTTAGTTATATATTCTTATGTTTTTTGCGAAGTAGAAAACATTATAATAAAATACAAATAAGAGAGAAACTTTAACCATAACTCATAGATCACACAGTAAAGACGGCCTATGGACTTTGACAAATTCCTTAAGTCACATTCGCATGGTTTATTTAACCTCAATTTACATCATTTGTTCTAGTGGAACTGATCAATAAATTAATATAACACGAGTGCCGAAAAGGGCTACTAATTGGGGCAACCAAACAAAATGCAAACCAAAAATACGACAAATGAAAACAGGCATCGAAGCGAAAAGCCGATGTTTCTATACCCTTGCATTTAGAAATTGGATCCTTCGACGAATCATAGCTAAGGAAAAAATGCATTCATTTCAATTCTAAAAGATACTCTGGGTCAGTTTTTGATAATTTAAAAATATTGAGCCTTTTTATAACAAAACATGGCTAGATCGACTTTAGTCTTCTTTACCGCATTTTGAATGAAATTATATTACCCTGTAACAGTAAAATAGAGGTATCATTCGGTTCTAAACAATGATTATTCTTTGCATGCCGTTGTTATTGTTGTTTCGTTTGATTTGAATTTGTTCGTCTCTTGTGTATTGCAGTTGTAGTTTTCGCCCTTGTTATTGCCGTTGTTGTTGCTTTTGTTGATTTGGCCAAGTTTGCTTTGCTGCCTGCTGTCGCCGATGTTGCCTGCTTCTGCCGGATTTCTGTCTATTTGTCGTTTAATAATCTACCCCCTGCACACCCCGCCACCTTTCCACCCTTCCCTTGGCTGCTTTTGTTTGCTTGTCGTGTTTTCGAATGGCACACACACTCCCAGACAGGCAGACAGACACACAATTTTCCGACAGAGAGACCGACCGAATCTTTGGCACAGTGGCTCCTCGCTCTTCGCTCCTCCACCACCACAAATATCGAGAGTTTCCCGCTGGGTGTTTGCCATTGTCCCAGATCTCTGGAATAGTTTTCAATTGCGACGACCTGACCCACTCTGATTAGAGTGTGATGTAAACCGATTTATGGCCAAGTCCGCAAACAAAACGGACAGACAGCGGTCAAGTTAAGGAAATTAGTAATGCCTATTTATTTGACACGCTGGCTTACATTTGTTAAGTAAATAAAAACAAATTTAATGATCTAGAAAACTTAAGCAAAAATTATACAAAAATTAAGTGACTTCCGACATAAAGTCTATTTTTAAAAGAGCGCAACGTCTCACATACTTTATACAAGGCCTCTTATTAAGATGTCCTTTAAGGAAATTGTCTCTGTATTACTCATTAAAATTTAATACATTTAATACAATATTAATAAAAAAAATTAAATGTATCCCTTTTTTTCCAGGAAAAATAAACCATTGGGTAGTGCTTTACTGTACCAGCTGCTGCCCAAAAATGTCACATCTCCGAATAATTCGAATAACTCGCAACTGGGGAGCATTTAAATTGCTCAAAATGTCCTGAATTGAGCACCGCTGTCGCCCTTCCCCAATTCTCGATTCATTGCTCTATAATGTATTTACTTCTGCGTTATTACACTCGCCAGCCAGCACCCTTTGCTCTGGCCTCTACCCACCGAAAACCAGGATGCAAATAGTATCAAGCATTTTAAATATAATCAAAGTGCACACATATAATAAGCTTCGGGGCCAACATTTTGTGTATGAAAAGGTAGACCAAGGCAAACGCAGGGGAATTAAATACTCTTCAAAAACTAAAATAATATAAGTTCTATGAATTTTTTTTAAATTTTAACTTAATAATTTGTATAGCCTTGCAGGGCATTATAACAGATTTCCGACATTACATTCCATATATATTATGATTGGTGGAAAATAAATTTCCTATGTCCTATGGCTAACGTAAGAGTATAAAAACTTTCGCTTCTAAGTTTTTATTTTACCCTTCTTCCAGGCTTTCACTATTCCTTTGACTCTTTCCAGTCTTCCTTTAGCTGCAAACTTTTTTCCTTTTTTTTTTTTTTTTTTGAGTAGTGCATTTTGCATGCAATAAAAATATCGCATGATATACAGAGTGTGTGTTCAGTGTGCAGAGCACTGGAAATTGTAAATTCCAGTCCTATGTGTGTGTGTGCGAGAGGGGAGGCTGTCCTGCCGAAGGAGGCTGAGCGGATATCAAAGGGGAGTGAACTACATGGTGTATATGGTGTGTATATGGAGCTGCTGAGAGCAGACAGCATGTGTTTATTGCCAGCACAAAATGATGATTACACGTAATGTGTAATGGTCAAAATGGGGGCGACGTAGCTGAGTGCGGCGTGAAAAGCCCCGGAAAAGCAGCCGGAATAGCATCAGGCAGAAGAGACGGCAAAAACAAACAGGCGTCCGTCCGTCCGTCCCTTCGTCCCTCCACCTTCCCCTGCCGCCAGCCGGTGGCATCTCCTTGGTTTTGCCATTTTCCGGCTGCTTCAGGAACTACTCGTCGTCGTCGTCGTCCCCCATTTCCACAGAGCTCAGCTTTTCCTACGAGTATTTTCCATATGTGTTGGCTGCATCAACAGCAACAGCCAGCAACATACTAAGGCCATTTCTTGTGCTGCCTTTCAACTTTTGCTTTGAATCCTTATTTTTCGGATCCTCCACAGATTTTGTTTTTAAATTTTAAAGCATTTTCATATTTAGTACATTTTCTTCGGACCTTATATGGGAGAAACTTGATAAAAAAAAATGCTGGAAACCTCAATTGAAACAAGCTGAGGAAAAATGTAAAAAAATATAATAGAAAATATATTTGATAATCTGACGCTACACATTTCACCCTCTTCTTTCACACGCTGTCAACGAGCAACCTAAACTTATCAAATTATCATTGCAAGTCACTTCCATGACACTTTCATTACCGAAAAACCGAACACCGGGGCCAAAACAATAAGCGAGCCAAGTTAATGAAATGCGAGGCACCTAGAGAAGTTTAGGGGAGGTGGGAGAGCGGTCCATTGGTATTTGTGATATGGCAAACATGTAAAGCCAAAGAGCCAAGGGAGCTTTTCCGTATGAAGTTACCCGAAAAACATGTAAATTAAGCATCAGTAGGGGCGTCAGGCAGCAACAAAAATGTGGCTGCGGAGGGCGAACGGATGAGCGAGTAAGACCTTGCATTACAATTGAGTTACAGTTACGGTTTCAGTTGTGCAGCCTTTATAGCAAAGGACCTGTGGGTTTTAGGGTGTTAAATATAGCAGCAAGTTCGGAGTTGTTTGTAGGAGCGCCATGTTCATATTGTGCGAAACAATGAATTTATATTCCCTCCCTTTTTATTTCGTTTTGAGTTATGTTTCTGTACTTTTACATAAACACCAGGGAGGGGGTTTCGGGCTGGAAAAGTGAAGTTACTAACAGCAGTTGGAGCGAAAGAATGAAATACTAGAGTTGGGTCACTCTCCGCCAGCTTAACACATTTGACTCTTTTCAAACGTTGCCAGCAAGTTACTTTAACACAGTGCACACAGCAAAAAACAAGGTTAAAGAACAGAAATTCAAACTATACATGCAATATATACTTTTAAATGTAGTTTAAGCAAATATTGTATTAATCCTATATGGGCTTCGCACCCTTATTAATTCAGTAAGAAGTTTAAAACGCAGTGAAGGAGTCATTTCCGACCCTATAAATCATATATATTCTTGATCAGCATGAAAAGGGGAATCTTTCTAGGCATATAGAAAAGAACAAAATTTTTTAAATTTTTTTTCATAAATTTTATGGGGTTATTTCCATGTTTTCAATTTTAAAAAATCGGCAAAAATTTAAATGCTTTAAAATTGCAATTTGAGTATGCAGATTTGTTAACCTATTTAAAACTAGCACAGAACAGCTTTCCGAATCGGAATCTCTGCTTTTTTGCCCGAGTTAGCAGTTTCTTAAGCTGTTGTTATAGGAAAATCGTCATACAAATATCGGCCCGAAGAATGCGAATATTTCTACCCTTCTAATTTCAGTAAGAAGCTTAAAACCCAGTGAAGGAGTCATTTCCGACCCTATAA